GATTGTAACATGATAAAGTTTGGGAGCCACAATAAAAGAGAAACAATAGGAGGCAGCTATGGCCATATTGATGAAGGTCCTATTTAAGGAATTGATTCTTTGGTTGAGCCTTTGGAGAACTTTTCAAAGGTTTTGATGGGAAGAACATTTACCCTGTAGCAATACTTTGAAGCTGCAAAAGACTAGAAGCAGAAAGGCCAGTTAGGACTCTTAAGTCTAGCAATCAGGTACCCAAGCCAGAACTAAGGCAGTAAGAAGAGGCATTAGTTGCTAGGATCTATTCTTTAGGACATGGATTAAAAAGGGGGAAGAACAGTCAGGTGACTCCATACTGCATAACTTGAGAGGATAACGGGGAACTTTTTGTTGTTGCTGTTGAATGAGAGCGGGGAGGTAATGAGTTTGATTTTTAAAGTGTTGCATTCATTTGAACTACCAATGGGATATTTAGGGGAGGATGGTTGCTCTCATAGTACCTTGTGCTTTAGAAGCAGACTTGAATGTGAATTCTGGCTTTGCCACTTACTGTATTTGTAATCTTGGCCAAGAAAACTTAATCTCTTTTTGCTTCTGTTTCTTCACATAGAAAATGGGTTTAATAGTTTACCTCATAGGACTATTGTAAGAATGAAAATATATGTAAAAGGAATGTAATATAGTTTGGAAGAACCTAGCATAGTGAATTACTAGTGCTTGATAATTCAGTAGCTATTAGTATGGATGAGGATGAACTAAGTATTGTAAATATGTCACTAGAGTTCTTGGTAGGAAGCAGGGATGGTTAGAAAGATTTGAGAGTGATGTGCAGAAAATTATTAGTGAAGCTCTGGGAAGAGAAGAGGTTATTATAAGAAGACAGCTTGAAATGTTAGAAACGGGTCTGACACTTAGCCTAAAGGAGACACCTACATTTATTGGTTGTCAGGAGGAAGAAAAGGTGGAAGACAAGTAATCCAAGATGTATCAGGACCACATTCCTTTATTCAAGCTAATCTGTTGTCATATGATCTATTTGCATTTTCCTACCCATTCTGTGTATTAAAGTTGTAATGTATTGTGACTTTGGAAATCTAATCATTTAGCCTGTACAAGAATATTTAAACATCTCTTGGTATTGAGTTCACTATTTCACAAGTCAGCCAATTCTTTTTTGGATGTCTTTGATTGTTAGAGTGTTTTTCTTTGTATGTATCCTTAACCCATTATCTCTTAAAATTTTTTACGTTATTTAATTCCTTCCCATATTAGTGGATTAAACTCTTACATTAGTGGCCAGTAGGATCCCCTCTTCCTTCTTTCAAAACTCCCTGTATCTCCTAGTATATAGACTTTTATTGCAGCCAATGTAAAGAATATTTTGCTATCATTCTTCATACTATTATATCCTCACCTGGTTTCTAATTCAGGTCTGTCACACTTAATATTTTAAAACTCTAGCAAGAAACTTAAATGATAAAATGGAAAACTAATCTTGAAAAATGATGAACCTGCCTTAATATATTTTACCTGTTTTGACATGTGTGTACCATTGCATTTAGTTCATAGCACGGGGGCTTCCAAATTTCCTGAAGTTGTAACACACATACTTAACCTCATTTTATCATAGCGTCTACTTGTTTCCCCCTATAATCTGTCAACCATGAGTATCTCAATAAACAGAAATAAATTAATTTCAAGAATCCACTACACTGCATTATATGGCTGAAGATACGTTAGGGTATCTTAGAACCAGAGCTGGGAATCATTTTTCCTGGAGCTCTAGGATCATGTCGTAATTGCCCTTGAATAGAATATAGTAGAACCCAATAAATAGGGACAACTTTTAAGAAGTATATGTTGTAGAGAAGACAGAAACTAATGAAGAAATGATCCAAATTAGGGAGTTTGAGAAAGGACTCAGTAAAAAAGGACTATTTGAATGAGAAGCATAATGTCTAGTTGCTATTTATGTGTATACAAGTACTGGGATGGGACTAATATAGCTAAAATCTACCTATGTTATTGAGAAAAATGTTACGAATAGGCTGTGAATTACTCAGCCAGCTTTGTTCCCATTCAATGATTTCTACATGAACCTGACTTAAGTGAGGTATCTGCTGAAATCATTCGTTGAATCAAAAATCAACAGATAATGTAGTTCTTGACTTATTGAGCACAGCTGAGTAATAAATTTGTTTTTCTTTTGCTAATCATCTAACAGTGTAATGCACAGAGCAGATATGATTTCCCCATCACTACCTTTTACTGTTTTAAATAGAGTTGTCTTTCTGGTTCTGTACTTTATGTAGAAATTTTCCATCCATAACAAACAGTCCTAATTAGGAAATTCATAAACTTCATGATTTTCTAACTGGAATTTCACTATTCACGGACTAGGTCCATTTATTTTGTTGATATTGTTTATAAGAATAATTTAGGCTTCTTGCCAAAAGTTCGAGAAATAAAAGTATAAAGAAGAAAATATATATTGTAGTCTTCACTCCCCTTTAATGTAACCACTGTGAATGGTGTTGTATATCTTCCTATATTTTATATATTTATGAATTTTTTTACGAAAGTGGATTGAATTGCATTTGCTATTTTGAAACTTATTACCACACAACAATTTTTGTATCCTTTACTAATGGATATTTACATAATGTACAATTTTTGATTAGTTTAAACAGTACTACGTCATACATGTTACACATTTATCTCTATACTTTTATCCAGTCAATTCGTTATGGTAGTGGAAGTAGAATTTGAGAGCCAAAGAAATATAGATCTTGATGCATATTTGTTTACTTTTGTTTAAAATATTGTTAATGTTAAGTCAGTGAGTGGGAAGGCTGATTAAAAAGTAGTAAAATTATATAATTTTCTTCCATTAAATAGCATTCAGCTATAAAATTAAAATCCAACCAAATTAATACTTTCTCATCAAAAAACAATTGCATTTTCTCATGGAAAAACAATTTTATTTTTTGAAATTGTGTGTTCGAAAAGAGCATAGAGGAAGTGTGAAAGAATAGGATGAATCAAATTGCACTGAACATTACACAGGAAAACATCATCTAGCCTTAAAATGTTTCAACTAGCCACAATGATCACATCATGGAATAAAATGTAAAGAAATTGGTGGATAGAAATCAATGTGTAATTCATTTTCAAGGATAGATGTGCTGAAAGAAAGATAGGGCTGTCATTAACTTCTTTAGCATAGTTAGCAACTATTTGAATAAATAAAATTAATAGTAAAATGTAGTTATGGTTAATAAGTTTTCATAAACTCTGTATAAACAGTACATTTTCTCCCTCCAAACCTGGAATTCAAAAATCTGCTTGCATATTTTTTTGGCAAGCAAAATGAACACTTGGATTTGAACTCATTTTGCTTTGACTCTTGACTTAAAGAAATGGCTTTAGGGACACTACTTAGCTATCAGAGGAATCAGAATCAATGTAATGTACCTTTGAGCACTTAATAGTCCCCACTTAAATATAACGGGAGACATTTGACCAGTTGCATTATTGTACTTGATCCACACTAAGGTGATTTTTTTTTTTTAGCTGGCAGCCTCTTATTCGAGTTAGGCAGGTGTCATAATGATCATTTTGGTTCATACCTGGGACCTCTAAGGTTTTAAGCATTATAATGTCTTGCTGCTTTTTTGTCCTCTTTCTCTTCACCATCACTCAGTTCAGCTATAGTAGAGGTTATAATTTAAATGAATGCTCACTCATTATATAAACCAAAGTCTCCCATTATCCTACAGTGGCTGCAGTCCAGCATAACTCTTCATCCTAGTCTTTGGGAATCTGTGCTTCTTTTGGTGGAAGTGCTCATTCTTTCCAGCTTGAGCATTATCTTCCAGGCAAAGACATGATGAATAACAAAGGCATCCATTCCCTTTCACTTGGGTGCCTAGGAAGAAACTAGATTGCTGTTGAGACCATTTGCTAAATCCTGCTTGCAATCCAAGATGAATTTTGACCCAATGTATTTATATAACAGATCTTGGAAAATTCTAATCCATTAGAATTGGGATAAAAGGTTCTTCTCTCTTTTCAATATAAAATGTATTTTTTTAAACCTTGGAGTAATAGATATTTTTAACGTGTTTCTTTAAAGCATAGTTCTAGGATTTCAGTTGCCTGATAACTACATAGCTAGTCCATCTTAAAAGCAAAATAAGAAAAATTATTCTATGTTTAAAATTTTAAAAGGATGAGAGAAGTAGTTTAACATGGATAACAGTTGAACCAAGTTTCAGGACATTTATCAAGTACTTTGGTTTAATTATACAATATGTTTTGAGGTGATATTCAAATAAAATGGCTTCATTAAATTTAGCACATTATATTTTAAATTTATAGGGTCATTTGGAACACATTTCCAGTAGCTGCTGCATTGGAGTAGTATTACCTTGTCATTTTTCGTTCTATCTTTATAGCATGGTAAAAGGTTTATTTTATTGATGCTGTCTTCTGTGCATCAGAATGTTGCCTTGGTGTGTCCATACCAGCTATTGGTAGTATAATGTCAGTCTAATTTAGAGACACTTGTACCACATATCTCTAAAAGATGGTGATGAGAAAGCACGTAGTGTAGTTTGTAAGCTCAGGACATTGCCAAATCCTTGTTTTCAGGCATGCGGATTTTTAAAATGTGTTTGTGAACAGAGCTTGGATCTAGACCTTGCACAGCATTGATAATGACATAATTTCTTTAAGTTCTAAATTACTCCATTGGTAGGATACCGCTTTAGTCTCTGCTTTGACGTGGTAAATGTCCATTATGTTATCTCATGATGATATGGACTCTAATGCAATAATATGGTTAATCAAAGATAAAATTTCTTTCTTGAGTATATATCTCCTGAAAATTGATAGGATGATACACCAATGATGTGATTTTCTTTCTTTCTTTTTTTTTTTAACTAATCTTATTAAAGGGGGAGAACATTAAATCTTTGAATACTGTACCTCAATTTTATTGTAATGATTTTGCTGGTTACCAGGTGGGGTGGCAGTTGAAAAATTTGGTGAATGCACTACGAGAGGACCCGAGTGGTGTTATCTTAACTTTGAAAAAGCGACCTCAGAGCATGCTTACCTCAGCACCAGCTTTACTGAAAAATATGAGATGGAAGCCCCTTGCTCTGCAGGTAATGAAGCTTAATCATAAGTCATACACCATCATTTTAGCCATAGATTATCTCAGTAATGCTTCTTTATTGTGCCTCATCTCAGCAGCATATGGATTAATCTTGTATGCTTTTGAAAATTTGTTTGTGAAATGATCTCTTCACAGCTTATCCTAATAGGCTTAATTGTGATGAAATCTGAAAGTTACTATAACTAAAATCCAAATGATAAAGAACTCTGCCTTATTTTCTAAACATTTAAAGCATAATTCCAAAAAACCACAAGCTATTTCAAGCCAAAATACGGACAGAAATGAAAATGAGAGGTTTATTTTGTGATATAATCTTCTATTTGAAAGTTATACTTGCATACACTTCTTGCAGAAACTAGATGATAGTTTATAGAATTCTTTTAAATCAGATCATAAGATAGTAATAGTTATTTATAAACAGCAGGTTAAGGAAGTTTTAGATAATAATTAAAATGTCCTTACTACATTTCTCCAGACTGATCATTTGTCTCTGTTCTACTCTGTAGGGTAGCAAAAATAGGGAAATTGTTGCATTAGAATTTCTGCATTTTTCTTCATCGTGAAACATCACTCTAAAAGATTACTCTGGCTATTGATAAATTACGTTCATTAAGAAGCACAGTTATCTAGGAGGTTATAAAAATATGATTCTGATTGATGAAAGATAAGGAAGTGATATGTTTTCTTCCATTTCAGTCAGGATATAATCTATAAACACATAGAAGAAATTTTTGTCCTTCACAAAACCTGCATTTTTAAAATAGGACACTATTACCTTTCTTAGAAGTCTAATTTTTAAAATTTTAAATTACCCATTGACACAGAACATTGTCCATTGTTCAGATTAAAAAGAAAAGCAATATATGAAAATACCATTGTTAGCACTATGTAAATTGTTAATAAATTTTATATTAATATGTTATACCGTTCTTAGATTTTTTTCCCATAAAACCCTAAATACTCCATTACACATTGAAGGGTCTTATAGATTATAATGATTTCTCCTTGTTTAAACTTTACTACTTATTGGCCTCAAAGTTGCATTATACTGAAATAACATAAAAACATATAAAGTGTTCTAACATTAAGGTCTTTAAATTTTTAATGTGAATCTGTTTTTCAAATGAATATACGTAAAACTATATTACTATGTTCAAATACATTTGACTTGCAGTATGTTTATTATCAAAGATTGTTGGTGATCATTAAAGTTCAGGGTTCAGTATTTGCTTCATTAAGTCGTAGGTTAGCCGATCAGACTTTCCCATCACATCATTTTATTTTCTTGCTGCATTATAAGTTGCTTTGTTGTTCCACTCTGTAGTTTCCTATTGACACGCCATCCCCAAACATCCTTCTTCAAATTGGAGAGGTGGGAACTCAAGAGGAGGCCCACACTTTCAGTCATTAGGTTTTCTTGTCTATATATGTATAGTTAAATTTAACAACTTCTCTCTAGTCCCTTCTATTTCATGTTGAACACCAAAAGAAACTAGTTTCTTGTTGATTCATAAACTCTAAGGGAATATCTCTAAAAACTAAATTGATAATTTGGTCCCTTTTTAGATTCTTTTCCACAAGCACAAACTAGAGAATTAAGGTAATGACAGTATCCAGTTAAGAACCGCTTTTATATAAAATGCTGAAATAATTGAAAGAGCAACATTTCTTCTTTGCTACACATACATTTGGTGTATCTGTTCAAAGCCAGAGAATAAAGACTTTAATTTTTAAAATTATCTCACATCATTCTTTAGTTATAATATAATTATAGTAGATTTTTAGGGCACCATTTCTAGGTGCATTCGTAAATGCCAAGAAATGTGCCTCGTCGGATCATTAATTATATTTATTCCTCATTGTGTATTCAGTTACTCTGAGTATATTTGTTAATTTACCTTTTCAGAATGCTGAAATCAGAAAAAAGAAAATCAGCATTACATAAGTGCTCATTTTTTGTGTTATTTCAACTGAATTTAGTTCACCTAAAATGTATTGTCCAAGCTCGACCCCTTATAGATAAACAGTACTATTGAGGGGGAAAAACCTGCTTTCACCTTCTTCAAAAATTGTTTCAATGGTTGACTTTTTACCCAGTAGGAGGAAGAGTATTAGTTTTCATTAAATACTTCCTAGTGGTGGTAGAACAAGGAGTAAGGGCAGTGGATGAGTGCTGTAACATACCACACCACCACCACCAAATCTCCCTGGGGTCTATTTTGCAGACCTGAAATTGTACCCTTACAGTGTTCTTCCTTGATCTTAAAGCTTTGGCCTGTGCTAAAATGCAGAGACACCAGAAGCCTAATGGAAACTGGTCAGAAATTTTATAGAACGTATATTTTGATACAGCCAAAGATGAACAAAACCTGAGGGTACTAGGGTCTGGAGATTGAAGGTAGACTGCCTCAAGAGGGGGTAAAGTCAACAAAATAGTGGAATGAGATCTTGCAGGGAGTTTTGGATTCCTTTGTGACTTTGCCTGAGGCCACATGTTTTTCATAGTGGCTAGGAAAGGACCTCAGATGTGAAGCACTAAGTGCTTAATGTAGCAACAATCCTCTGTGCAGAACACAAGTACCATTCTTATTGTATTCTTCCTTCTGGTATGTGTACAAATACTTTGGAGCTAAAATGCCCATTAACTCACCTAAATATAAATCTTCAGTGTTCAAATCTGAAGAATTGGACATTAGATTATTCTTTTTTCATAAGGTATACCAGTAGTCTACTAAGAATTATTTAAAATAGAGGTCACTAAAAGAAACAGAGTGGCATTTATTTAACTCAATGAGTCTATTTCATCTTTTTCTTCCTCTATACCAGGCTTAATTTACCTAGTAGTATTTTCAGATAAAATATGGCAAAGTTTGGGTAGTATGGAGGTAGGCACTAATACATGCATCTTAAAAGAAGAGCAACTTTATTCTAACGTAAGGAATAATTATTTTTTAAACTAATAAGTAATTAATTTATACCTACACAAATAAAACAAAGCCTAAGATAGAAGATTGTTAAGGAATACCACATTTTAATTGAAGTAGAAGTTTTCTTTCTAAAATATTTTAAAAGAATCGTAACTTCTCTTATTAACGGCAATGATGAATTTTGATTTGGATTTTCTTTTGAAAATCGTTCATGGAATTATAGCCAAATAAACAAAAGCATACAATTCAATTTCATGCTCACAGAGCAATTTCATTAGTACATTTCATGAAATTTGGCACCTCTTCTGTTAAATTCCTGGTTTCTTAAACACTTTGCAATAGAACTGAAAGACTTTAGCCAAATGCTATAAGCAGATTTAATCTGGATTTGAATTCTGTTGTCATCTGCACCCATTTATAAATAGTAGAGGTGTTTTACCTGAGATAGAATTTTTATTCTAAGAAAGCAAACCAGAGATTCCCTGCTTTCTGAGAGCTGTTTTTAAAAACATGTCCTTAGTAGTACCCTCTACTAATGTCCTGGATTTTGGTAAGCATGGTGATTACTTATGGTCAAGTTCTTCCAATTCAATGAAAAAAATCTCAGAGAACTATGGATAAACCTCAAGGTATATTTTTTGATGTTTGTGGCTTTAAATTAGTGTGCGTAGGTCACAAGCATGCATGGGTGATGTCATTTCTTCTTACAAGAGATGTATGGGAGAAGTAGCTGGACACCGACAAGAATGTTGATTGAAAACATCACTGGGAATCAACAGTTTAACATTTAACATTCAACATTTAAGAGCCCAGCTTTTTTTGGTGAGAATGCATCTCAGAAATGGTCACTAAAATCAGTGCTGGAATTCAACATACTGATATAGTTTTCATTAAGCACATTTTTATATAAAATATCATCAAGCTGTATCATTAGAATTATGTTCCTAAATTGTATTCTGATCTATTAATCTCTTATATCGATGTGATGGTTTCCTGTGTGGTTTTGTGCTTTTCATTTTAAATTTTATTGCTTAGCATTACCTTGATGTCATTTTTACAAGATGTTTAAATCACTTTGAACAGAAAAAGAAATGGAAAGCATATAGTCATAACAGTCGATTTTTGTCTCAACTGGCATAACAACTGAAGAACACTAATTGATTATGTTACATTTCAATATGTAGAGATAAGAATAGTTGAAGTCATTCTGTAAAAATAAAAAAATATAAGCAATAATAAAATTTATTTCAATATCCAGGTTATGGATGACTGAAAAAAAATTAGTAATAGTTTATGTTTCTGAGAGTTTTGTTTTAAAAGCATGTTTTGAAGAAGATAGCTAATATTAAGTATGACACTAGAGAAGAAAATAAGTTTTAACAAAAAATGTAATTGTCCTGAGTGGGAGGCAGAAAACAGTTATGTTTTACATGCTCAAATTAGTAAATGGCTACAAGCAGTTGTCACATCAAATTTTTATTTACCAATATTTAAGCAAATTAATTAAAGGATCTAAATCGCATTTGCATTTTTCAGCCAAATTCTTTCAAAATGTTAACACTGACTACAAATAATCACCTAAAATGCAAAAATTATTTTTTAGTTTCTTTAGATTCCATTCTTTCTTTAGTTAATATCCTAAAAATGTTTACTGTAAATTGAAAAAATTGCAAGTCCAGTTTTATGATTGCAGTATTAACTGCCAATAAGACTGGACAGCACAAGAATAAATATACTAGTGGTAGTCTTAGTGCAATGTGCAAAACTTGACGATTCAATGGAAAAAGCCATTTTGTAGTGTGACTCTAACGTCTCTCTAAAGTCTGTATTGCATGTTTTTAACTACATACATATTTTTATGCACATATATCTGTATTTTTTTAACGTATACAGATGTGGTTTCTTGATAAAATCCATGGTTGGAAAAAATGTTTTCTTGGTAGTCTGATAGGAAAGGGAAGATATACATGCTTATAAAAGAAGACTCAAACTTTTTGTATTTATAAATTTGGATTCTAGAAAAAGCTGTGAAGAAACAGAGAAGTGGAAGAATTTTGAATACATGTGTTTCCCTTGCTTAGGCTCTTTTCAAATAATTTACTACTTAAGAAAAGCTTACCCAGGAAAAAGTATGCCCAGTAATTTTCCAAATTAAATCTAGCATTCTTTATATGGTTGAGAAACTTAGAAGGTTTTATGCCAAGTCTTCCCTCCCAAAATCCAGAATACGTTTTCTCTGGAGCATTTATTTAGATGATTAAGAAGAGAATTGCTTACATAAAACAATATTTTGGTACTTGTGTTGGGAATTATAATAAAAATGTGTTTGAACTGAATAAGGACTTGTGTGAATGTTCTGTGCTAGAATAATGGGATTTTGTGATTCGAGTCTGTGCTTATTCCCAAGAGTGAATAAAATAAATGACCAGGTTTTATACTTGATGTAATCAGTCATATTTCAATGGGTATTTTCCTCCTGGAAGGCAAAGCAAGCTCTTTGTGATCTTTGCACTAGCGAATTTTAGAGATAACTACATAATGTCTAATACACTGCTTTAATCTTTACCATTGGGGTTGTCTTCATGTCATTGGTTTCATTCAAGACTTTCTATAACTCTGTGAAAGCTGGGTCACTTAGCAGACAGAGGAACAAGTAAATTAAGATATGCTTGCCAAGGGTTGTTAAAACGTAAGATGTTTCAAGTAAAATCTCAACGTCGAATGTAGTTTCTTAAGTATAGAAGTTCTTTTCTCGTAGTCTTTAAGACCATTTGGGTTTCATAGGTATATTGATACCTTCGAGATGTGCTCACTTACCTTAGAGATGTTAGAATTGGGGGCACAAGGAAAAGACCTGACCCATCAGAGGATTTAAAGTGAGATTTTGGTGATCCCTTACAACAGCTGAAAATTTTATTTTACAATAATCACGATCTTCCAATGATGTTTAAACTGGATGAGTAGGATGTTATTACTAAAGTCATCACTCATGATTCAGAGGAAGATTTGTGCCATACCATATTGTGGGATACAATTTGAAAATATATATATAGTTCAAACTGACTATGAAAAATGTACGTATACTTTAGTAGATTTCTGAGTCGTGTTGACAGTATAGTAAGTTATCATTAATTGACCTAAGGTTATAAATGTATATTTGAAGAGATGAATATGATCGTTTTATTTAGGATTTGGATATTTTAAGAGATGGCCTGCCAGTGTTCCCAGAAATCTATCATAGACTTGTTTGAGAAGAGTAACAATATATGTGCAAATGCGTCTTCCCTGTTGGAGCCTCACTGAATATGTGGAAGGAGAGCTTTATGTCAGCAGGATCATTTGGATATGAAAACTAAATCTTATGACAAGGTCCCTCCAGGAAATAAACCCCTTGGGTAGAATCCACAATGGGTCCATGTCATACTTGGTTGCATACCGTAGTGGATCACGTTATACTGAAGCTTCATGCTTACTTGAATAACAAGATGCAGTCTTAAAATACCCTTGTATTTTATCCATAAGTGATGATCATTCTTAATTCTCTTCCAGATAGATTTTACCAATTTAAGAGAAAGAAGCAAAATGGTAAAAAAAAAAAAAAACTGCCCTTTATTTCTGCTGTTTTTCTTAAATTGGAAATCGCTTATAGTACAATGGTAACTGCCTTTCTTATACTATGTTATGAACAAATGATTGCAAGTAAATGTTGCCAAGGTAGGAGAAGCTATCCTTCTGCATTATTATACTCACATATTTAGATATTTTTTCTGAAACTAAGGAATATACCAATTAAAATTTGAATTGAATGCTGAGAGATCTTTTTTGATTTGAGGGAAGCTGTATTTGTGATGTCATGTATTTTCACACACTTAAATGGTTATTGGTAATAGTTGTAATTTTAATGCCACTGTTACAACTAGGAATTTCTCACTGATAATTTCAGCTAATAACATCATTTATTCTGTGCTTAATTTAGTCAAATTTTGCCTTTCTAATGTTCTCTAATGCCTTTTTCATTCTTTTAGTCATTTAATTTTGTTGTCTCTCAATCCTTGTCCACAGTTAGGAAAAATTTTGAGATTATAATTCTGAATTATCACAAAAATTCCTTTTGTGTTAAATAGCTATTTCCATTTTCCCATGAAGCTTCTACTTTACCATACTCTGTTTTTCCATTGCTTAATGTCTGTTTTTTTAAATGAGATTCTCAAGAAGAATGTTTACTTTTTAGTTTGGATTAGCTTGACAAAAATGGTAGAATTAGTAGAAAAAATATACTGAATGTATTTAATATTTACCTTGTGTTTTACTTGGCACAAGACATACTGATTAGCCAGATGATATCTGCATGGTAAGCCAGTTGAAATATTTTTTATGATTTAGCAGTTAATAAAATAGCTAGCCAATTGAGTTAAACAACAGGATTGACTATTTTCTTTTTTCTCTGGAAGAACAAGTTGTTTTTTTAACCAGTTCAGTTAATTGAACAAGTTGGCACGATCAAACCTGTTATCTGTTTAAACATATTTGAGTCTTTTTCCTCTACGTGTTTGCTAGTTTAGCTAGTCACATTAACTGATGACATTATTAGCAACTCCCTGCTGAAAACAGAAACCTAGAGGAAATAGCAATTTGAAGGAAGTTGACAAGGGTAATATTTAAATTTCCTGGAAGCGGAAAGGCACAAGTATCCTAAGTAAACAATGCTGGAAATAGTCCAGGCAGAATAAAATATTCTGTGGGTCCTTATCTTGTACTTCAGGGATATTTAAAATATACTTGTAATCATTGCTCCTACTTGTTTTTTCCTTTCTTCCTTCCTCTTTGTTTGGGGAAGGCAGGGATAGGTACTAAGCAGGAAGAATTAGCTTTAGTTATATACATGGTAAAATGAAAGGAGAGAAATCTTCAATATAGAGATAGTGACCTGAAAGAGAAGAAACATTTGTTATTTTTTAAAATGCTTATGTATTTTTAGAACTATTTTTGTCAACTTGTAATATTAGGATATTTTAAAAGAGAGATACTAGAACATTTAAAAAGCATACTGAATGTAAGTTTTTCTCTAACAGTGCATCTGTTAGTAAGTTTTGGAAAGTAATGTACTGTAGTGAATGTTTTTACATTTCTATAATGATGAACTTTTGATCAGATTTGTTGTTTAATGTCATCGGTATTTAATACCAAGATGTCCTGACAGAGAGGAAAACAATTTTAAACAGTCACATCACAGTGGCTATGTATATATATATATATATATATTCGAAATACTTGATCTAAAGAGCCTATCATTCAAAGATCTGTTGTAGACATTTAATATATCCTTAGAAAGAATACAATTCTTCATTTCCTCAGGTTTCATGGTGTTCATCTGTACAGGTGACTTCTGATTACCTATATAATCTCAGGATTTCCCCTTGCCAAAACTTTTTGTTTCTAAAAGACACACATAGCTTAACTGGACACTTTTCCAAAATCAGCATAGTTAAACATAATACTCTTGACTGCATATTTTCATAATATCTCAAAATTCCTCAACTTGTAAAGTTTGTGACTTCTTTTTTTACATCATATAAGAGAGAATATTGTAGAGTCCCAAAATAAATTATCAACTCTTTTTTGTTTCTCTCTCTTCCTTTAATTTCTATTTCACGTAGATTAAAACTTAACCATCATTTTGACAGGATGTGTGATTTCAAGCTATTAAGGTGAGCTGTGTAACAAGCAAGGTCAAAAACCGTGAACTGAATCATAAACTATGTAGCCTACCCCAGTGACCTACATTGTACATTGTATTTATGCTTGGCTTTTCGAACAAATTTTGTTGATCTGTACAAAAATATTGTCACAATATAAAATAGTTGTAATATGCCATTTTTTGAGTGTCCAGCAATACGTGTTACAGTAATAGAACTGTGGGTCTATATAGATGTCCTAAAAGTGTTTTCATACTGGTTGAAATAGCAACATCTTGTCATGTGAAGATACAGTTCATTTTGTGATCATTATTTTTGTGTTTGCGATTGCACTAAAATTCTTATTTTTAATGTTTTATATGTAGCTAAATCAGTAAGATCTGTAAGATAAACGTGAAGATTTGTGAATTTTAGTTTCACGTTAGGATAATTTCTTGAACCACAAGATCATTTCTTTCAAATGCTGTGAACCTGAGAATCAGGAATGCTCTTAAGTTAACACATCCTGATGTATTGCTTATTTCAGTATATATACTATCTTAACTTAGAAAAAACTTATTTAATGCTTAAATACAGGTATGAAAATGAGATCTATAGATATGCAACTAAAGATGATTTTAAGCAATGATAAATGTGTGTGCCTGTGAAAGCTGAAATGATTGTGTCACACTAATCACCATACTTTTGAAGATGTACCATAAAATGATTTTGAGAAGACAGTTCTGTTTATGTTTATGAAAAAAGTACATTTTCTTAGAAAATGCTCTCTCGTATTGGCCTTTCACACTCCATTTTTGTAACCTTTCCCAAGATTCTATGACATTCTACTAACTTGGGAGTATGGTGTATCTTTTTTGGGGGAAAAATCTGAAATATCTTTCTTGTATGTCAATCAAGATGTGAGTGGGCTAATTCTTTTGAAAGTTACTCTTTGTTATCCTTCTTTCAAAGATGGGATTCTAACAAAGCAAATTTAATTTAAGTAAGTTTCTGGCTGTGAGATATACCTTTCCATTCTGAAACACTGCATGATACTATTACCTTATAAATAGCTTTTACATAGTTTTACCACAGATGAAGGTAAGTTGGGAACTAAGTGGAAACCTCTAAAGTAATAAATTATTTGCTTTTGGAGATTCGAGGAATATCTGTGTGCTAAATAACATGCTGCTTTATTTCAGCCAAGTTCAAAAACTTTGCAGAAATAGATCATTTTAAAACGATAACTATATGTCGTTGTTGTTGTTGTTTTGTGTGTTGTTTGTGTGCGTATGTATTTTCTTTTTCATTTTAACCAGCCTCTTATACCTAGAAGTCCCACAAGCAGCGTTGCCACGCCTTCCAGCACCATCAGTACGCCCACCAAAAGAGACAGTTCTGCCCTCCAGGATCTCTACATTCCCCCTCCTCCTGCAGAACCATATATTCCCAGGTATAAAACTAACCATGATGTTGTTCTAGGCAGCTTCTATTTAAAGACTAACTTAACTCCGTGTAAACTGTGAAGTAAATTCTCAAGGATCACCTTGAATATTTTCTCAGGTAGGAATTCTGAACACATTCTGGAAAATCATTGCATTATAGAGAATGCACTTTGGTTAATAATAATTAATTTATATTAAATGCTATGCATTAAATATCTTAGAAACATTATCTCATGGATTAGGAAAGTAATATTAAAGAACAATTAGCAATATTTAAATAAGTAAAAAATAGGGAGGCTCTTGGGCTAAGAAACCCCTGTAAATCGCAGGTTACTTTGAAGCATTTTATACTTTTTTTCTAAAAGAGGAAGTTATAGATAACTTTTATGCCTTCTTAAATGTATGTAATGAGCCAGTTGTTTTTTTGATGATGATGGAGTGTTTTTCCCCTTAATACTTCTGTATCTACAATTTCTACTTGATTAGGTCATTAACATTTCTTTCAGAAAGTAGAGAGAGTGTACAAGAGAATGAGTTGCCGTTAAAGTCTATTTTGTACGTTTCTTGAGGCTGTATCTCCATTTCATTTTCAGATTCCTATTTGAAATTCCTGGCAGGTATGGAAGACTACAGCTTTGTGCCATATGCATTCTCTCGAAAAGCATTCTGATATCCAGCCTTGTGGAATACAAAAATTATGGAAAAGGGCCAGCACTAAATGGGGATAATTAATACCAATCACAAAGAACTTGATTCAGCTTTTAAATTAGTTGTGCAGTCATTCAAAAACAGTAATTTAAGGTCTCTTGTTTTCAAACCATACTTAATATTAAATTTCTTCATTATGTAAAGGAACTGAAATTCTTTGTTTTAATTAATTTTCACTATTCTTTAGTACACTTAATGTTTCATTCTACTAGATATGATGGTACTGACATTTTATGATCTAAATGCTACATGACAACATAGCGTGTCTAAAAATGCTGTGTTATCCTCTAGTAAAACTATAGTCAGTTTTACAAACATTTTACTTCTTATTTTTGAGAATTAAATATAGCCGTGGTAATGTGGTTTATGAGAAGATATAATTTACTGAGCTAGCATTTCATAGATCTTTCTAACATATAATATACAGTCTTATGTTAAATTTACAATCAGATGTACAAATCCATTCAATATCCTGGTCAAACACAAGTTGCGTTTTAATTCTATTAAAATAGTGTCGGATTTTCTGAATACTCTTGCATGAGGAGCAGCAAACGCACGTGTGTTTCAAATAGGAAGTGACTTTTTTGATTTGTTTTCATTTTAATTGAAAAGATTTTTATTTCAGTGCAAATTATTATTTAAGAGCCCTTATTCTTCGGAGGGCTACATGTACAGATAAACATCAGAAGATTATTTTTTATCAAATCTCTGAAGTTTTTTAATGTTCATTCCTTTTCTCTTGAGTAGGGAGAAACTTGTTATAAAAAAGTATTTCCTAGACAGAAGGTATTTAAAATACACTTTAGAAGAAAAAAAGAGTGAAATGAGCAAGTTCTGAGTGTGGTGCAGATATGATTAAGGCAATATATTGAAGTCAATAAAAAGCTTGAACATGCTATTTAAAAATACTAGCGAATGTAAGTTGAAGTATCACCATAGTGGTACTTGTTTTGTCAGTATTGCTTGAATGCTCCGCACTTTTCAGTAAAATTCATAATTAGAGTTTATTATCTCACTTTAATTCTTACTGTGTAATTCAACAGAAAATTCTAAATAATATTTTGAGTCAGATTATCAGTTACCCACACAGTGTCATTTGATATAGCACAGTCAGAACAATCCATGCATCAAAGTCCCTTTGTACCACAGCCTTGTATAAATTATCTGTATTTTCTGGTTTGACTTGAAGTTATAGTCAGATCTTTTTGTGGTTGTCATTCTTTTTGTGGATACAGCCTTGGCACTTTTTTCCATTTTCTCATTTTGAGGAGGAATGTGGTTTACCTAATTTAACTCATCTGAACATTTCCTTTTTCCTATATTAAAAAATTTTGTATATGTATGATGGGCATTTTGGTGTTATGTGAACATATATAAATTATGTGTTTAATTTGAACTGTAAATAGTAAAGGCTTTCTCATCTTAAAACCAAAAGAAGTTTAAAAATATAGGGCTAAGTTGTCAGGTAGAATTTTTTTCATGTGGTTACAACTCTGAACACATTTATTCCTGAGAAAAAGTGCCTTTTTCTCTAAAAGAGAAAACATTCATGTATGTGAATTGAGTGAAATTTGGTCGTTTTTTTATTATATGTCTTATGACTATATATACAGTTTCATTATCATAGTATATAATGAATTTTTGTACTTAACCAAATTTCTTTTTCTATGATGAAAATTAAGAATTTGTAGGTCTTTGCACCACTATGAAGTTTAGGCACTAATTTTTCTTACTAATTTTACTGTGAACCATTACACATAAAGAAAGTCCACTCAATCAGTGTGCTCTGACTTTTCATCTGTTTCTTTAAATCCTTTTTTGAGCAAAAGTGTAGATTTATTACATACATGTATAGATATATAACATTAAGAAAAGGTTTTAATAAATCTTTACAGCAAAACAAATTAATACATTGAGTTCTTCCAGGACTCATGATTTGAGTGCATGCGTACACAGGCATACACACAAATGCACACACACTTAGATACACCATACATGTGTCAATTTATTCTACTGCAAAATTTGTTTTTGGTTTGTACTTTTCTTAATTCAACTTTATTTGAGTGCATTCCATATAGATGGGTTTTAATAAATCTTCCTTGTTGGTGTAAGGCCTCTCTTCCATATCACTATGGAGTAAGCATTACCAGCCCTCCCAATTTTCTGCCATCAGGCGTGTCCATATAAATAGAGCATGGTGAATTAACTAGGGCTGAATCACTCTGTGATCTCAGCTGCATTAACATTCATGTCAAAGGCCTCACAGAAAAGTCTGCCCATTTGTAGATGAGTCATTAGGGCTCCTTCCAAGCTAATTGCAGTGTCAATTTCTTTTTGATAGAGGACTGACAGTAACAAAAAGTACCAGGCAATTTGTTGAGGAAAAGTTTTTAGCTAGCTGAAAATAAATTTGTTTTCTTCATGTTGCCTAAGAACTATCTATGTAGTTACAATTTGGTAATAATCAATGCTTTTATTTTAAAAAATAAAATGACACTTTGCATAGGCAATGTAAATGGCAGCCTCACCTTGTGATGAGTTAAATACATAAGACAGCTTGCTGATTCTGTCAGTTTTGAGAAAATTACTTACTACTTTTTACATATTTCGAATACTAGGAATATAGTTATCTTCATTTGTACAAACCTAATCTAGACATTTGCATCTAGATACAGAAGTATAATATACTCTAGTGTAGAAGTATAGAATTTTTACTGGACTGAAACTCATATTTTGGAGTTGACATTAGATTTATAAGCTCTTCACCATCTTATAAGATGTAATATGTCAATTAAAAATTTGTTCTTTTTATCTGTCTTGTTATAATTCAGTTTATTCTGTTGATTTAAGATTTCAGTCTTGGCACTTAACCTAAAATTAAGTTTTTATCTGGTTTGATAGCATTCATGGCAATGTTTAGGGTAGAACTGGAACCAAGAACTAAGAAATAAAATTAATGATCCACAAGGGAATACACATTGCATTGACATTCGTAGTCATGTTCTAGAAGACAAGCTCTTCTAACAAAAGTTTTGTAGCTAGTTAGTGAAACATATAAAATAAACAGGGTTCAATTTAACCAATCATAAATGGAATATTTTTACCAATATACCACGCATGGGCCCAGTCACTTGGGCTGTGTGAGTAATACTATGTGTGGGTAATAGTTTTAGGGATCCCATAAATTATTAGAGATTTTTTGCTTTAGAATCCTGTAAAAGAAAAAAACAACTTGCCATCATCTTAAATCCCATTCTTAAACTCCATATTTTATCAGGTTTCTCCACCCTCTCTCCACAGGTTTTGATATATTCATTTAAAATGAGTTCTGTGAATATATCTTTTTACTATTAAATGAGATACGTAGAGTTTAAATACTGAGAGTAATTCTTTTCATTAAGGTTTATTTTAAATTAATAAGTTGTTTGAAATTCTTACAATAGCAGTTTATGTAGTGCTAATTTGGTTTTTAAGGCTGCAGTACCCTTACAGAGGTGGTAGTTCTTAAACACGTTTTTGTTTTTAAACTGTGCAAATATTACCATGAATCAATTAGGTAAACTGGAAGAATAAAGCTATATTGTTAACATCGTTAACAGTATATCTACTGTCTTGAGCACAAAAAGCAATTTCTGTGCTAAGATGATTTCCTTTGTATGACATAGTACAGTGAAAATGGACTAGAGCAGGAGTTAAATGATTCATGACCCATTTCTATCTGTCATTTATTAGTGGGGTGACATTTAGGCAAGTCATTTAGCCTCTCTCTGCCTGAGCATTTTTTTTCCTGCAAAATAGGAATAATTAAAAATGGCCCTATAAACCTCAAAGAAAATCTGGGAAGATCAGAAGATAATTGTATGGGAAGGATATTATTACTATTTTAGACCCTCTCTGCTGTTTACCACCCTAACACTTTCCTACATCCTTCTCCTTTACCCTTTCTTTAGAGATGAAAAAGGAAACCTTCCTTGTGAAGACCTGAGAGGACATATGGTGGGCAAGCCAGTGCATAAGGGATCTGAATCACCAAATTCATTTCTGGATCAGGAATATCGAAAGAGGTTTAATATTGTTGAGGAAGATACTGTCTTGTATTGCTATGAATATGAAAAAGGAAGATCAAGCAGTCAAGGAAGACGAGAAAGCACTCCAACTTATGGTAAGAGTTCTTCTCTTACATTGACATAAGAACATGTCTACCATGGGAGTCTCAATTTCTTTCTAAAGGCTTTTGAATTATGAAAATTTCTTGATAGCTTTTGAATCTTCATAGTTAATCTGTTTCTGTCCTGTGCTTCTAAGTGGAATCTCAACAATATGAGGCATGACATTAAAAATTATTCTAAATTTTCCAAAGATAAGAAAGAACAGTAGGTGGCATTTTAGCTCATTAATGATTTATGGAAACCTTTTTGAATCACATGTAATTTTTGTATGTCAGATGTTACCAAATTAGAATAATTCAAGGATTTTTTTTTCTTTTTTTAATGAATACATACTGTTGACATGACTTCTTTAAAATAAAATTACATCCTTATTCCTCAGAGATTAAAAAAGTCATTAGGGGGCCAGCCCAGTGGTTAAGTATAGTGGGTAAGTTCACGTGCTCCACTTCGGCAGCCCGGAGTTCGCCAGTTCGGATCTTGGGCACAGACCTACACATCACTCATCAAGCCATGCTGTGGCGGCATCTCACATACAAAATAGAGGAAGATTGGCACATGTTAAAATCATTAGACTTTTCAGGGGAAAATCTCATCTCAATTTTTTATTTTTTAAGAAGCTGCAAAATTTCAGTGGAAGTGGATTTTAAATAGGATGGACATACTGTATGTAAGGCAAAGATAGGCCTACAGTTACCATGTCCCTGGGATTTTTTTATCTTTGACTCGGGTTTTCCCATGTACAACCAAGAAAGTAACCCAGTCACAATTACTTAGAATTGATATAGTGTATCTTAATTATCTGCAGCTAAAGTTGTCTAAAGTTAACATGCAGAAGCCCATGGTCCTCTTGTAAGAATGAATGGATTTAATTGGAAGTCCGTGCTCCTCCCTTTCCAGTTTTCAAACTGATCATTTTCAGTGAGGAGCTTATGCTTTGGGAAAGGACAGGATCCCTGTTGATTAGTCCCGACTTGATCAGTGAGAGCTGAGACGAAGGAAAGTTATCTTTAACTTTGCATTTCTACCTGCCCTCCTCTCTTGGCCACCATGGCCATATGCCTATATGCCTCCTTCCTGTGGTCTCAAAAGATTAGTCCTCATGTATCTTATTACACATGGCTTCTTTCCTTACAGCTTTTTGGTAATAATTATGTATGAAAAGTTTTGCCCAGAATTATCCTAAAGAATAGGCACCATACTTACCTTACTTTGTGTTGTTCTGTGTACATGTGCTTTTTATTATAAGAATATGTAATATATTTTTTAGCATAGCTCCTCAATTATACGTCTCTGGTGGCACTTATTTTAAGCTATCATAATTTGAAGGCTTTTGCACCTTTGCTTTTCTCCTATTATGTTGCACTCTGCAATATAGAGGCCTGGCATTTTTGTTATCCCTGCCCCTGTCCCATCACATAATATAAGATTTTTATTTTTATTTATTCATTCCACAAGTACTTATTGACTTCTTGCTATTGGATAGGCAGTAATGCATGGCAACTCTTCTTTTTTTTTATGTCCCAGAATTTTCTGGCTATTTTCTACTTATGTTGAAGTAGATAAGAATGTTTAATTTAAGGGGAAAGTATAGTCACCAGATGAAGTTGATTACTGGAAGCTTTATAAAAGAAGATGTTAAGTAAGTTCTTACTCAAATGGCTGTGAGTCATTGGTCCCTTCAGACTACAGTTGAAAGTACCTAGTGCTGTCATCTTCCACAAATCATCTCTTTCTCAATAAAATAGAATACTGTTTAAATTTTAGAAAATTTAGATATACTATAGATGTTTGATATATTTTTGTAAACCACTTAGGGGGAAAAAATGTATATATGCTTAAAAGAGGGATAAGGAAGTAAAAAAAAAATGCTTTTTTAAATTTTTGATCCTGAGAGTTTGTTTAGACTTTTGAGCCAGAAATATGATCTGAACCTTCAGTGGAGATACTTGTAGATATTTCAGTGGAGATTCCCTGAAGGTTGTGCCAGGTAACTAGCACTTCAACGTATTTACCTTTTTAAAATCAGATGTTAAATAATAAAACCTACCTATCACACACATGAATTTGTGGCCATGATTTTCCCAAAGATTAATTCATTTGTTAACTCATTCATCTAATATTTGTTGTGCACACAAAGTCAGCCAGGCCCTGGGGATGCAAAGGCGAATAAAACATAAGTCCTCCAGAGAGAAGAAAGAAGCAAAGACATGCATTGCAGTCACATTAGGGAATTAGGCAGGTGTGGACAAAGTGCTGCAGTAGCCCGCGAGCTGAAGCCCCGGAGTCGGCCTGGGAAGTCACATAAACAGAAGTGATGTTTATGCTGAGTTTTAAATGATGCATAGCTATCATCTTGGGTTTCTAAATGCTAGTTTTCTCCACCAAATACGTGGCACCTTCTCATACCTAGGTTTGAGATCTGAGGGTTCATATAAATCTCTCAGCCCAGACCCTAAAGGCCCTAATACAAATTACTTAAAACTTTCATAAGCAATAATGTATGACAACTTCTTTATTTAATCTATAAAGAGGTTCCATTACATGGACACCCCAAGTGTGACAGTATTCTCTTGGATTTAAAAATAATGATAATGAAAATACATGATCTTACTGAAGAATATTGCAGAAAAAACTAAAGTACAAAAAAATTCACATTTGATATTTACTGAAAATGACAGTAATTTAACTTGTTAGCACTCGTGTGATACCTTAAAATGCAGTGTATAAGTCCTTTAGCCTTACAGTGTTCAACTCAGTCCTTAGTCACAAATACCATTATCTTGAAGTATGTGGGCTTAGCCACCATTACTCTCTGATTAACTTCCCAGATGACCTGTTTATTCAAAGAGGTTTAGAGTTAACATTATAAGTGTCTGCATAGGATTTTGAGAAGAAAAGGAGAAACATGATTCAATTCTTAGCATTTGCTTTTAGTCAAATATGTATATACTTGTTATATTCTCTTAGTATATCCATATTTAAAAGTTAGACATGGTGACAGAGAAACACAGATGTAAAGAAAAATACTAGAAAATATCCCAGTGTGCACTTTAAAATATATTGTCTAACCAAGATTCTCATTTTATATCATGGACCCACTATGTGTTGCTAAGAGTGAGTTAAAAGAATAATTATTCGCTCTAAGCTATTAGACAAGTACAATGTGGATAGACAGTGGATGACTTTGCTCGAAAATAAGTAAATAATACCTGTTGAGCTTTTATATATGCCAGGCACTATTCTAAACATTTCAGAGGCATTGACCCATTTAATCCTCACAACAACCCTGTGAGGTGGATACTGATAAATTCCTTATTTTACAGATGGGTTAAATAACGTAACAAACTAGTAAGTAGTAGAGCTGGGATTAAGTACCCGTGGATATATGTTGACTCTGCCAGTGGTACTAGCTAACTAAATGTGATGAAAATAATTTCCAAAAATTGTATTACTCCTTCCAAATTCAAGTATTTGATTTCAGACAAGCAGAACCAGGTCTGATTTTGTATGTTCTTGTATATGTGGTTTTGTATTTACTGGTACTATAATAAACACGTATTTACATAGACATGGCCCTGACAGACCTTAGGAAAAGATGGCTAAATTGAGGGGTAAAATTAGCAAGAAAGTGTTATGTCCTTTTTAAATCAGAGAGCATAAAATAGGTCTTACTTTCCTAAAAAGATAGACAAGAATAATTTCTGGAAACACGGATAGAGCAGGGGAAGCAACCTAGATTAGTGGTTACTTGGATTGGCTGTAGCATCAGCCATACTTGATAATCATGTTCTTCATCTAATTACTCCATTGTGATCTTTAGGATGTTAGCATAGGTCTCAATTTTCCCATTAGTTAATTGAAGGTAAATATCTGCCTCATAGACTTTTTGTGAGAATTTAATGCCAATGCATTGTAAATTGCCTAGACGGTGCCCAGTTTGTGCTAGGCATTCATTTTCACTGTTGTCATTATTATGTAGAAACTTTAATGTTGCTAAGATAATAGATTTTAAGTATTCTCACCACAAAAACAAAAGGGTAACTATTTGAGGTGATACATGTGTTAAATAGCTTGGTTGTGATAATCATTTCACAGTGTATACATATATTAAATCATGACTTTGTACACCTTAAATATATACAATTTTTGTTTGTCAATTATATCTCAATAAAGCTGGAAAAAACAATAAAAAGTTACACATCTCAGCATGTAAATAATAATAATAGTATCAGCTATATTAAATTCTTTAAAGAATAAGATGGAGTGAGGTAGTTCAATTAAAAAAAGAGAAACTTTAAAGTGAAAATACAAAGAGAGGAAAAGAATAGCCTTAAATCACTGTAACTATTTGGTCTCATCTGCTCATGCTTCAAAGGCAAAGGTTCAAATTTGATAAGATCAGTTGCTTGGCAACTTTTCAGAATGGTAATATTTCCCATCAGCTTTCTCTTTTCGCTGTTCACAGACTCCTTGCCCTTGCTATTCCATCATAGCACATTTCTATGCATAGAAACCTGCTAAGGTAGACGCAGCTGGCTAAGTCCTTTTGTGGCTGTGAGTGGGCATATTTTATAAGAGTAGGAAGAAAACATATTCTTTACAATTATATCACAGAATAGTATTGATTTGAAGGAATCCAGACCTTTTTTGGTTTATTGAAAATCCAGAACCTCACAAAAAGCACACGAGTGAATGCAAAGCTGGTGTTTTAAAAATGCTCCTCATAAATGTTATTTGTACGCATTGTGCATTGAGGAAAATTAATTTCTGTAGCATTCATTATACCTGAGCATTTTCCACTTGAGTAGGTGGGGCAAGAGAAAACCAAATACCCTGTCCTTTTTATTCACATGCCTAGCAAATGGCTTGAAGTGACTTACAGCAGCGTGATGAGGGCCTATGGGCAAGGACGCTGTAAGCTGAGTTTTATCAACGTGAAGGGAAGATATTATTTGTAGGTTCCAGGGTCTCGTATCATGCTTCAACATTGCCT